GACAGATCGATCGAAAGAAGTCGAGACATGTGAGTATTTGCGAAAGCATACGATTCCATAGAAAGCATTTTGCAATTCGAGGATAGCGAAATGCAGCAATCGATTATTCTAATATTGATTACGGTTCTCTAAGGTCGAATTTTTCTTATCGTCCGATTTATACTATTCTAAAAGCTATAAGCTGAGTTCGTTGGACTGTAAAACTTGCCAACTTTGAACTACATGTCACTGATAAAGTTCCCTATAGTTCGGTTACATATTAGAGAAGATAGAAATGATTGACACTTAGGTTTCGGAACATATTCTACGATGTATATATCTTGCATGTACATAAACCGATCTAACGATCGCTTCTGTAAAGTACCTTGATATATTTATGTACATTCTGCTCTTAGATACGTAACGCGTACACGAGAGCATGTATTCCAAAGAGACCTCTTCGCTTGATTTTGATGCATATCATTATTTTTGTTCTTTCTTTTTCTTTTTTCTTTGGTCTTTGGATCGTCTCCATTGTTCTAGCCTATTTCTGACAGACACGATATAGCACGAGGCGTAGGTATAAAGTGCGCCCTTGTAAACTACATCATCGTTCCACGTTTCATCAGAGAGCGACGATAACGGCTCAAACTTTGAAGATGTGCACAAAGAGAGGAGAGAGAGAGAGAGAGAGAGAGAGAGAGGAAAGAAGTGGAGAAAACGTCGACGTTAAAGAAGGTGACAAGGATCTCTTCAATGTGCGAAAGCTCGTACGTATACTTGGAATAAATATGAAAGCGTTGAGATAGCACCTCGGATTCGTTTTCGCTGAATTCATATGAAATCGCGCTTCAACTTTGGACTATAAGTTTTCAAGATTGTATAGATATTGCGTTAGCTCGTAAGATCTCTTCAAAATACTTTATAAACACGTACAAGTGCGAATAAAGGGGGAAAAAGAAAAATAGAAAAGGAGCGTACGATATTAACGATAGATTAGATCAACATAGAGAATAAATAATTTAGTATCTTCGCTTCGAAAATCGTTCGATTCTTTTATACGTTCTCTTAGTTTTCAGGAGTAAGCAAGATATTTTGACGTTCTCATTTAAATCCCTCAGCCCCTATATAGTAGAAAGTAGCATGTTCGAGCAACGTGGCATTTCTCGGCTATTCGAAGAAAACCCTTAGAAGCCATAAACGTGTAACAAAAAGTTTTCACCTTTATTCTGATCGCTATAACGCGCTTGCCAAACGATATCTTTCTCCGATTCCTTCTAGCACGAATCTCCTTGAAAAAGATCGCGAGCGTTTCATGCTACGAATTTAGTTCGGCTAATCCTGCGATAATCCGACGAGCTATACTTTCGAGTTTTATTTCGAAAAAAAGTGAGAGAAAGAGAGAAAGAGAGAGAGAGAGAGAGAGAGAGAGAGAGAGAAAGGAAAGAAGAAGAAAAAAAAAAGAAAAAAGCAAAGGAAGAAGATTTCCTTAATCCAGGAGCTTGCGATCTGACGAACTATATTAGTCGACTGGCAATTTTTCATAACGATGCTTTTTCTCGCGAACGATTAATCGTCGAAAGTAATCCGAGTTATATCGACGCTCGCTATTTCTCCTAGTTGTTGTTTTTTTTATTTTGTTTAGTCATCCAGTTAGGGATATAGCGTTTACGACGTGTTTCGACATTTAGGACATTTTTATTTTTGGATCGATCGATCGATCGATCGATCATATCAATTGATTATTATATACTCGTTGCGAGTCGATTGGACGGTAGAACGATATAATAAACGATAATCATACTCATTAACGATTACGAATTAATTAAATTCCTTCTTGTTTACATCGATTGGAATTATTACACTTTAAGAAAAGATGTAGATTAAACTTTAAGGTAGAAACGTGTAACGATAAGGTGATACGATAAGGAAACACATATTATTTTTGGTATCTTTTCAAAAAATACGAGGCGTAGAAAAGCAAGCGCGAAAGATTTCAAAGACCGCAAAGGATCGAACGGAGAAGGAGCATCAGAGGCGATTTTCCAATTTCCAATAACGAGAAACTCGACTCTCGTTCGCTCGGATTTCGAGCCGTAACCTTTCAGAGCTTTATAACACATCGGTGAACGGAGTTGAGACGCGATCGTACGATCGTACGATCGAACATCGCACACGTATTCGTTGGCGACGTAACTTTCCCGAAAATTGCACGTTGTTCTCGTAATGCGTATATATACGTTAAACGAACTCCTCGCGACAAAATTAATTGTGTTCCGAGGGGAACTCTTTTCGTCTTCGGTTACGAATAAAATGTAATTCAGTATTGAAACGGCACGTTTACGTAACAATCTCGAAAAAATGATTATTTATTTCGATTGTAAATCATCGAGATGTTTTTTGAAGCGATCGATCTCTCACTGACTCCAAGCGTCAACTCGATCGTTGGGTTTGACTGCACAGTTTATGGGTTGCTTTTCTTGAAACGATAGAAGCCTACGGCACCGAGCACGTTCATGCGTAAAGCGAAATGACAACAATGCTTTTGAGCTATTCCGAAATTATAGAACACGTGCAAAAGTCGGACGGTCTCTTGTTGTTGAAACACCGAGCAAAGAGAATGAGGGTGGGTGGGCGGACGGAGAGAAAAATAAAAAAGACTCGGCATCGTCGTCTCGCTTTTGGGGGCTTCGTTACGCTCGTCGATTCGTCTAGTTAAAAAGCTTTCCGAAGCAAAAACTCATTCGTGAGGCGAATAGCAAGAAGAACTATCGCTAGCCATATATTCTTCTACTTTTTACGCGATAACTGATTAACTGTAGTAGTCGAGTAGCTGTGAAATTTAGGTCAATGAGATTTCGATATAATTCTATACATAAACGTGATTCTTTTAACGTTATCTGAAGGTCGATTGTACAAACAAGAAGATGGGATCGAACGAGAATATGCTACGACGACGACGACGACGACGACGATGACGATGGCCTAATATTGTCGAATTTCCTCTGTTTATCATAATTTTATCATGATATAATATTAGGCCGATTGATATGGCCAAAGCGAGATATAAGCGAGAAAGGTTAGATAAGATGGAACGAAAGAAAGGAACAAAAGACGAAAGGGAAGATCCGGGAGGAGGCATAGGTAGAGATAGGTAGGTAGATTTCTCTGTTCGCCGGCGACAGCAGAGCGTAGGAGTGTTCGGACGTGGACGGAATTGCAAGAGGAATTCGCGAAAGCATAGTCGACCCTTTCCATTTATATTCCATTCGGCGAGAGGTCGCTACGCGAGAGAGTATTTGCGAAGGCTCTGCTTGTGCTCCTACCTTCGAATCCTTCCTCTCTCTCTCTCTCTCTCTCTCTCTCTCTCTCTCACTCTCTCTAACCCGCTTGGTCTACTCTCCGTATTACACACATTCTGTCATCCTTATGCGCGCATACATGCGTTTTCCTTGCAATTCCATCTCTCCAAAGTCCAACGTCAAACAACGACCGAGTTGTACTAACGTGTATTATGACGTCGCGCGACATATGGCATGATCGTCAGAAATCCATTTGACGTATAGAATTTATTATGGAATTGGCACGCCATAAATTCAAATATTTCAGGCAATTAATTCAAGGTAAAAGATTTATGTATCGTTTTCGCCACTCGTACTTTGCCTTTTCTCTCGAGGATTTTTACCTATGGGGGGAAAAAAGTATATGCAATTATATCGACAGTATCGCTGAGTATATAGAATTTGAAACGACTTCTATTTTGCGCGACGTCGTTACAAAATGATTGTGTTTCGAGTTTCGTTAAATTGCTAATTAAAATCAATGAACACGATATAAAATGCACAATGAATTCTAACTGCGTCACTCGGTAATTTTACATATGCCCAGTGCATTCGAATCGAGATAATATAAATTTTACGATCGGCTTCTCTCTCTCTCTCTCTGTCAATATTTTAAATACCGTACGTACGCTTATTAAAAAAAGAGAAACTCGTGAATATTTCGCCTAGTACATAATGAAGATTTCATTTAATCAAGCGCCATGCTAAATAGAAAATATTTCATTGTATACCGTAAATTTGATTGAAAGGGCATGATCAATAATCGTTGGTCGAGCTTAACAATGATGCCGCAAGTCACTAGGTCAACTCACTAGGTTCCTATTAAAGAAAACAAACAAGAGAATAATTATGTAAGGGGCAGCTTTGCAAATTTTTTTGTCAAAATTAGATACTAAATATTTCTTACTCGGTAAATAGAAAATAAAAGTCGCCATCTTTTCGATGAAATTTCTATCGGCAATGTTACGTGACACGTAGCAAAGTCGTTAGACTTGGCATACTGAGAAACATTGATCCGTTATAAACAGCGTCTGTTGCTATAGAGTCCTACCGTCCTACTCATTTTATTTCGTCCAATACTGTTACTACTTCTATCATTTAACTGAGCTAAGAAGAAAGATCAAGAACTTACCGTCCGTCTTCGTTACTAACTTTAGCCTTACTCGTTGGAAGAATTCATAACTCATTGTATAATAATAAAGTTCGGTTCGGATTCGAGCCTCGGAAACAGCAAAGTCAACGGAGATTCGACTCTTTAAAATTGGCTTTTGTCTCTTCGCAAACTCTCCGGGAACTCTCAATATTTTTGATAACTGGAGTCCTTGTTAGGAGTTAGAAATTAAAATGATTGAAACTGAAACTTCTCCAAGGGGTTAGTCATTGCTTAGGATGAATTTCTAAGAGATGGAACAAGAAGAAGCAAGATCCGCGCGATCGCTCGTACAAGAATTTAATTAATTGAGTTTGTTCGTACGAAAAGCGAGGTTAGCGTAATAGTCGCGGTATGTACGATGAAAGGAATCGGAGAAAAAGAAAAGTGCAATTTATAATCCGCACGATATAATCCGTTTTTTCGTAATGGTTCTCCAAGTATTATGCCCAGATCCGAAAAGTATTCTAAGAGAAGAGATGTGTACTAATTAGAATCTATGTGTATACGATAAAGGGTCCAATCGTACGAAGTCGGGTAGACACAGGTCTTAGTAATTACGAGTTAATTTACGGATTCTCCTCGTAATTAGATGAATTTATTATTAAACCTCTTCGGCGTGTCGGACTAACGAACATCAGAGACATTAAATTGATACGTAAAGCGAATAGAGAAAAAGAGAGGATCTATTTTCTCTGGTGAGACAGTTACAGGACGGGACAGTAAAAATAGTAATACACTATAAGAGGCAATCAATATCCCTTATGCTTGTAATTCTTCGGCCTTGCGAGCTTTTTCAATCGTCTCGAGCATCTCGCTTTCAAAGCGGCCGGAGAGACGGTGAAGGCGTCCTCTCTGAGATCCGTTTCCATTCCAGCGGGACGTACCGCGGGCTTCGCCAGGATTAACGTCCTCGGGGAAGCTGCGAAATTAAGGAGCATGCATTCTGTCGCACTAATGCGCCCTTTTAAAGCATCCCCGACAAATGACTCGAAAGAAAATGAATTCAATGCCGGCTGTACTGTGAATAGCTTGACGAATAGAACGACGGCATCCTCCTTGGCCAATAGAATAAGACACGTTTAATCAGGCTCACCTTGTATTTGGGGTAAGGAAGATGGTGTAAGGTAGCTAATAGCTGTGAAATTGCTTCGTACGCGAACGCTACTCTTCTTAATACCAGTCTCGTTCTCTCTCTCTCTCTCTCTCTCTCTCTCTCTCTCTCTCTCTGTTTCTCTCCCTCTCCCTTTCTCGTAAAATAATCTCTCGTTTTCCGTACGTGACGAATATCGTCATCGACCATATACGATCGATATAATAACTATTTCAAATCGAATTTCGTAATATGACGTGACCAAATATGAAGTATCAAACGGCTAAACGTTATCGCGATATTAAACGAATTCCGCCGATGTTATCGTTTTATTCTTCGAAAGCCTCTAATGCGATTTCAATTTTATCGTACCGAATACCTCGAAGATCAGAATCTCGTATCAGAAAATACGTTAAGTTACAAGCCGTAAGCGCTTTGATAATGTTTCGGTCTTTGTGCCCAGAAAAAATGGCACGAGCCCGACGGCTTACCGGGGCGTATTTGCGTCAATGGAATCGTTTTTCCTCCGGACGAGAAGTGTTTAAAGCAATCTTTCAGTTCGAATGAACCGAGCGAAAATGAAGGCTGACCCACATGCCGTGTTCCGAGAAAACGCGGCCTTCGACGCTTGTACGGGAAACTGGTTAGGAAAAAAATTCTTGACTTCGCCGCGGTCGAGGTTGCGCGCTAATAGAAGGGGGGAGGGGGAGAAAAAGAAGGCGAAAAAAAAAGAAAGAAAGAAAGAAAGAAAGAGAAAAAATATGTAACGAAACAGTGATTATCTCCGGCATAGCGCAGTAAAATTCTTGTACCTAATCGACGAAAGCTAAAGAAGATTCTTTGAATAGGACGGACTTAGTTATATGATACATATGATAGATATACCGATTGCTTTCAAGGCTCCTCGCGAAATTACGCCTAGTTTCCGTGGCGTAATAAATTCCAATTCGGTCTTTCGATAGGCGAGCTCCTTCATACGCTCGGTGATCCTGTACCTTAGAGCGGATTGTGCTACCGAAAAGGGATCTCTGGCAAACGGAATCTCACGGCTCACCGGTAAAGCCAATTTTTTTATTCGCCTCATCCTGACCGGTCGCCATCTCTTCTTCGGGACCTACAATTACGTGTCGAACGTCTCTATCGTCGTTTCTTTTCCTCTTGATCTCGATAGCAAAATTTCATTTAGCCGGATACGTTTATCCAGGATGCATCGCAATACGTTGACATAATTTCGGATAACATTAGTCATCTATCGCGATACAGCCTGTTCGCGATTAAAATTGCTTTCGTTAAAAGTGCTCATTACGTGTCTCGGCTTGTGAATGACTTTTGGTTTCGCCAATTTCTCTATGATCTCTCTATGTCGTTTCCAATCGTGGTCCCTCGGAGGTGGCTTCCTAGGCTTAGGAATCCTAAGCTCTACAACGCTGAAAAAGAGATTTTATATTCAAAATGAGTCTGTGCGTGCTTTCTCATTTTGTCGATCGACAAAATGAGAAATTCGAAGAAACAAAAGAGGCTCGTCGTTCAACGAGCCTCCTTTCTAAAATTTGATGCAATTTTGGTCGTCATTAGCGAGTACATTCAGGTTGCGAGGATCCAAATTTGGAAGATGCCGCGGGAACTATTGGCAGTCGTTGAGAAAATCAAAGCGACGTAGAAACGCGCAAAACAGCAAATTCTCATTCTATCTTTCGAGACAAAGGGAGGGAGGGAAAGAGAGAGAAAGAAGGAGCAACGATTCATTATCACATCGGTCCCATCCTTTATCTTTGACGGAAGCAAGCGATCCAAAGAACCGTAGATTCAAAGGAAATGACGCAACCCTTTTGATAAAAGGAGAGAAAAGGAAAACGGAGAAGGTAAAAGCCAAAGAAAGGGTAACTCGTTTTACACCGTTGCAAAGAGTAAACTGAATGTGCGAGTGTACATTTACGTATGCCGTATATGTACGTACGAATGTCGAGTAAAAGGTTACTCAGGAATCTAAATCCGACTTTATACGGGACTACTCTCTCGCGAGTGGCAAGTGTTCGGAGGACAATCCGATTAGGTTCGACCTCTCGTGAAATCGAGATCGACGTCGAGATCGAAAGATGGTGCGATTCTTCTTTCCTACGGAACGTGTCCGATCACTCCGAGTCTTTTTCCACGGGCGAACGAGAGCAAAGTGGAAACTTGTGCAGGCTCTTACTACTACCGTCTCCCTAGCGACGGAATACTGTCCCTGGGTCCATTCGATCGTTAAAAGATTCTTATTCGATCTAACGAATAAATTTCGTTTCGTTGATGAGTTCATTCGAAAGCGATCGTTCAATTCGATCGTTCTCGAACATCAGTCGCTTCAAGGAATCACCGAAAGTAAACGAACGTCGAAAGCTTTCTCATGGAAAGAAAAAAAGAAAAAAAAAAAAAAAGAAAAAAAAGAAAATTAAACGAACGTTTTCGCTCGTAGCAGCACTTATCGTTTAATGGATTGAATTCTCCCGAAATATCCAACGTGATATCGTAAATACGAATTTTATATTTTCTATCTCGGATATATTGTGTGCATAAATACATAGATATCTAGACGCGTGTACTTCGATTACGTATCTCGATTATATAAGTTTTAGAAAAGTGCTTTGGTGCAGCTTGGCTCGTGGGAAAACGAAGCCGGAGATTTTGCACGGTTCTTAGATCCCTAGCGCGATTGGATTTTATTTCGCGTTTCTGTGTAAGAGCGTTTACTTCTACGCGCGCGTTCGCTCGCTCGCTTACACATACACACACACACACATGCATATATATACGTACATACATACATATACACACACACACATATATATATATATATATATATATATATGCGTATATATTTATACATTACGCCGAGGCCGTTCTCCGTTGCCAGGAGGATTCTCCGCGAGAATAATGAGATAGAACGGGCGCGAGCACGGGCCACGGCATTTTAAATTCCAAGTACGAACCCACCGCATTTTCGGCACTGCCAGAACCCGAATACGACTGGTACACTTCGCCGCGAGTGTCTTTGGATGAACTCGTTGGTACGGTGGTGGATAGTCTCTTCTGTATGAAAAATACATTTTATAAGATAGTGCCGTAGGTAAGAGACTGCCGGGTCGGCTTTAAAAGCGACGAGTTAAACGGCTTCGCGCTTACTGAACGTCGTATTTCTTAGTTACATATTTTGGCCGGGCCATGATCTTGATGCGCTTCGAAGCCTTACTCTTTAGTGCCGCGCGAGAAATTGCATTTGGATCTACCTGTTTGACCGATCGATTTTAGGCTCTTGCATCCTCGTAATCGTTTCGAGAACGATGACATTCGTCAAACCTTAGCTTACCACTATGTTCATGTCCGTTCTACGAAGTCTTCTCCAATTTGGACGTGCCAATAATCTAGTGTGTTGCTTTCGCGAAAGATGCGCCATCGCGTATTTGATTCTCTGGGACACCATATTTGCGAGGTTAATACTTTCCCTAATACCGTTAGACTATCGTCGGTTCGATGGGTTAGCCTTAAAAAGACTTTACTCGGATAAATCGCGACGTTATTTTCAATGCACTCGGTAAACATGCGAACCAATCTTTACTTTGTCCGATTAACCCCATTAATTTGGACAAAACGAACCGTCGGAATGCTGATGCGAAGGGGAAAAAAAAAAGACAAAAGAACGGAAAAAAGTGTAGATAGTTTGCACGCTCGAACGTACAATAGTGATTTTTTTTACGATAAAAACAATGATCAATAATAAAAATGAAACAAAAGTGACTCGATAGTTAGTGGCAGCGACATTCAACAATTCGCTTACCGATTAAACTCGTTAACAATCTATTTTCAATCAGCGGTATGCGTGACTGGAAATGGACTGCAATTTTTCAGAATTACGGTTCCCATATTGCTTGTTAAAAAATACAAGTCGAGTTCCGGCGAAAATTAACGCGGGAGAGCGAGACAGAGAGAGAACGCGTCGAGCTTTTAATCAATGGTATCGTCATTCGAAACAAATCGGATATTTTGCGAGCGTATGTTCGATAACCTGTTGGTAGATTAGTCACAGTTGTATACACGTTTCGTTTCATTCGTTAACTTCCCGTACAACCACCATCGCTTTAAACGAACATTTTCAAAGAAAACATTGCCAAAATTATTTCGTTATCCTTCGGATCGTGTGCGGATAACGTCGACAGCTAATCTGTAGCAAATGAATCGAACGAGAGATGAGGAAGAAGAAGAAGAAGAAGAAGAAGAAGAAGAAGAAGAAGAAGAAGTAGTAGTAGTAGTAGTAGTAACAAGAAACGCGGTGGATGTAATTTCGAGCTTGATTCGGACTTTGAACATTACGAACAAAAGTTCTACCAACGAAGAACTCTTGAGGGACATTCGTTTGGTTTTATTCGTTTTCAGCCGGCTACGAATACGATTCACTCAAGCATTTCTGCTTTCTCTCTTTCTCGTACAAACGTATATACACATATTCTCTCCTCCTTGTCGTCAACTCTTATCCGTTCTCGCTCTCTTTCGCTATCGTTTCGTCTTTCTCTTTCTCTCTCTTTCTCTCTCTCTGTCAACCCCGCATGGGAAATCTCAAATACGAGTCTGTTTACCTGGCACTTGAAATCCCGAAGGATATCGATGATAAGATTTTACCGCGCTCGTTCTCACTCTCTCCCTACTCTCCTCAGCCCAGCTCACCCACTTTCTCTCTCTCTCTCTCTCTCTCTCTCGTCCTCTTCGTCACAGTTTCAAGTCCTTAGTGGAACAACTTGGAGAAACTATAGTTTATACCACGCGTTAAGTACTCTCGAGGCTTTAACGATCATGTACCACGTAATATGAACAGATTTGCACGTTTAGGCGACTATTAAACGAAGACGAAAATCGGATCTTGATGGCGCTCAGAAGACCGCTAAAAGGGTGCTACTAGGAGTAGGTTTCCTGGATGAGTAGGAACGCCGCTTTTGGAATCGTTTGTGTAGAACGCACGGGACGATATACCCGCATTTCTAATTAAACTTTAATTACAGGTCAGAGGACGCGGTGTTATTGGTTTCAGCAAAAGGAAATCTCGTTATTAGAGAGCGCTCTTCCGGAAATCGTTGGTCTCCGTGTATGCTGAAAATTCCATGACTGACGATAAAAAAAGAGAGGGAGAGAGAGAGAGAGATATAAAAATGAAAAAAAAAGCAGAGGGAGAGGAATAGAAAGAATAAAAAATATCTCGTATCCATCGTATGACTATTTTCACGAGGCAAGTTCAGGGCTGGCCGGGGGTTGCAGAATGCAGAACATTGACATGGAAAATTCAAGAGACGGTCATGGGAATTGTCACTGGTCGGACTTTATCGGATTTCTCGTGGAAGCTTTCGGCATTGGCACTGCGACAGCTCGTAGCCGAGACAAAACAGCCGCTGTTTTCTCTGATCAATTTTCTTTCACTTTTGTCGAAGAGGCTAGCGAGATAGGGCAGAGATCGTCAAATTCTTAATTCATGAAACGAGATGAATCAGCGAACTTGTTTTTTCTCTTTTCCTTCCTTTATTATTATTTTTCTCGCCAGAGACGTACAGGTTTAAGTAACACGGTGGATTCCGATTTTCGTTATACCTCGAAGCAGAAACCTCGTCCCTTCTTCCCAAGGGACAGAAGAAAGTAATCGTCAGACGAAAAGAACAAAAAGAGAAGAGGGAAAAAGAAAGGAAACAAATAAAAGAATAAAAGGAAAAAAATAATATATATATATATATATAAAAAAAAAAAAAAAAAAAAACCGCAAAAGCAAGAAATTAGAGGAAAGTAGGCAATGGACTTTGCGACAAAGGCCGATGTTGTCGGTACATATTCATGTCTACCAGCAAAAAAGGACTTTCCTCACTTTTACTATCTTTTTTTCATCTTTCCCCTTTCGTTTCCTTTTCGTTGACTTTTAAACGCGCCAGGATAAAGCCAAGAGGAAAAAGTATCAAGGCTCGCCGTTGCCCCGACGAGTAAAGAGGCGTTGAATAACACCATCCAAAGTTTAATATCTGAAAGTCCTTACCTTTTTCTCTTCTCTCTTCTCCTCTACTCGTCTTTCTCACTCTCGATACTTTCCTTCCCCCGACCCCCCCCGCCTCTCTCTCTCTCTCTCATCGTTCTTATCGTTTTACTAATTTAATTCACGTCTTTCGATGAAATTTTTCGCAAAGAATCACTCCGATTGTTTAATTATTCGAACGAATTAAAGACTTTTACTCTTCAACGTGTATTTCTTTAAAAGAACATTACGCAATCGATAACGCTATTGAAGTTAACTATTGATTTGTAAAATAGCTTTCACGAGGGATAACAATAGGTTAAATACGAACGCGTTCTCTTATACGCTTTATAAAAAACGAAGGTTTGTTTAAACGTTCATGATTGATCGTTTAATCGTTCTTAGGAGCAATGAAACGAAAACTCAGCGACTTATCCTCGTAATTGCTTATAATCTTTGAGCACGTTCGAGTTCACGTCTATACACATACACAGAGAGAGAGAGAGAGAGAGAGAGGAAGAGAGAGATACAGACACAGAAGGTTACGTCTAAGAGATAGACATTACGTTTCTTCCGCACTCTTGGCAATGTCTTTCTCTCACATCGATTCCACCCCTATCTCCTACCCCGCTCACTTTTCTCACACTTTTCACGATCTTTCACGTCTCGGAGCCCACCCACAACCCTCCGACCGAAGGATATTAACTCTGAAAAATAGATCTTCCGATAAAAGGATTCAAGCGAATAATATTTTTCTTCCATCTGGACTTAGCGAGCCGCCACTTCTCGACGTTCCGGGTTAAGGAGAAGGGCCAAAAGAAGAAAGAAAACGACCGAGGTTGAAAAGACAGAGAGATAGACGGATAGATAGGTAGATAGGAAAAAGAAAAAACGGAAAACGAAAAGAGTATTTTTATATACCTATACGTGTATATTTTTTTTCTTCTTTCCTCCTCTTCTACGTATCTTTAACTCGACGAAGCTCCTCGAGATGGATTAGAATTTTCATCATTAGCTTTTATATCGGCGAATTAAAACGATTGTAGAATTTTTTTTTCAAGGAATTTGAAATAATACGAGTCTCGTTTAAAGCGTTAACGATTTAAAATGTCGAATTCGAAAGAAATTCTTTTTAAACGTTGAGAGAAAAAAGGGAATGTCATGTTACGAAGTGAAATGGTCATTGAACGAATAGAACAAGGGGCTCCCTGGTATCGTCTGGGTTTAATTAAAACGCAGAATGAAAAAGGTCCGGTTACTTTGAATTCTCGCGAAGACCTAAAGGGAATCCACGGTTACGGGACTCGGTAGCAAGTTGCCTGTTCGAACTCGAAAAACTTCGGCTTCGACCCCATTCGTCGTCGGGATCAGCGTAAAAGAAGATAGGAGCGTAGTCGAGAAAAGTTATCTAGCATCTACGAGAAGAATCGAGAGCGAGAATTCTCGTATTTCTTTCTCTTAGGTTCGTTCGTTTGCTCGGTTCCACTTAGACCCCTCCTTACTACTTTCAGCTACGTCGAAGGCATAATTTTCTTGCTTTCCCGCGAGAAACTCGGCCCTTGTTTGATCGTAAGGTATTCGTTAATTAGCTTTAACAATGCCGATCACGATGCACGTTTCTCAGTGCCCCTTATATGTATACAAATATATATATATATATATATATATATATATATATATATATGTATATACGTGCTTCTATTTAAGAGAATTATCTCTTTCCTTATATTCAACGGGACACATAGAATAACGCGTTAAATGCGTTAAATAAATAGTCAAAAAGTAAAGGGAAGAAATAGGATAGGAAAAGGGAATGGGCACTTGGCTACTGCCAAGAATTGTCTTGTACGCGTTCCCAGTCGGTTATCTCGGCTATTTTATCTGACAAAACTCGTGAAGCACGGTCCGGGTTCTGTTAAAGCAAGAGAAAATTATATCGCGGAAGTTGAGTACAAGACGGGAGGCGCGAGCTTTCTTAAACTTGCCGCGTCGCACCGCCTTCGCACCGGAAACGTGAAGTAACGAGCTGAGATAGCTACGCTTTCGGGGAAGTTTTCTCTTGAAATTGTCAACGTCTCTGTTGTGCTGTCCGTTCTGTTCCCCGTTCTGCTCCCCACCGGAAAGATAACGTTTCTTTTTTTCCTCCTTCTTCCTCTTCTTCTTCTTCTAGGTTCCCTTTACAATTCGAACGGACTTGTAATACATTAACAGTTTCTCGCGCCAACCCCTTTCCTACCTAGAATTTCATTAACTTTACCTATCGATCATTTTAAGATCGTCTAAAAGGCTATTTATCCTAGACGGAGAGACGGTATTCCACATTTTCTTATATACAATATATACGCATACGTAAAATATCGACGTTTCTTTCTGCGTGACTGGTTCGCGAACAAAGGGAGGAATCGGCTTTACAACTTGGCAGACGTTGTTAGATACCAACCGATGCCATTCATTTTTTTCAATTTCCGCTTGGACCAGTTTTCCTCGTTTCCATTCCAAATTAATCGTCGATTAAATCGTCCGCTCGCGCTATACTCGATGTGTAATTCGAGAGAATTTTTCGTCCGAGCACTCTACTACGTATACATTGAAAGTAATAAACGTGAAAATACGATGAAATAAAAAAATATAATCTTGCCGAATTATATTACTTTCCCTTATTGAGAGATGAAATTAAACTCAAATATATCATTGAAAAATCATATGGTCCAGTTTTGAATTCTCTCATTAATAAGTAATCAACAACGCATACGAGTGCGTGAGTGCGTGCGTTCGTCGATCCAAACGCAATTTTCGAACACCGGCTTGATATACGTGCGGCTTGCATCAATAGGATAATAAAAGCTCTCAAAGTTTGTTCTTAAATAGTCACCTATGAAATTCGATATTTCAATATGATTTAATTTCTCTAGATAGTTTAGCAAATAGGCGGGAAAGATTGGTTTCTATGCTGTAAAGATAAAACTTGATTAATATCAAATAATGAAGTCAAAGTTCGATTAGAAAAAGGAGGAGAAGCCGAAAGAACGATAAGGCTTAAGTTTCAACTACAATCTGTTCTTTTTTTCTTTTTTTTTTTTTTTTTTTTTTTTTTTTCGTCCCTTTTCGGTGTACATTCTAGCGGCAGCCACGGTCAAAGTATCGACAAAATCCAAGGATTATGGTATAAGCTCGCAACTCGAAGAGTTGCCCTGGAAGATTAACCCAAGTCTCCTTATGGTGGAACAATCTCGAGTATGTTAGCCTTCCCATCTCTTGAGAAGTTTCAAAAAGGATGATTTATCGATAAGGAGGAAATTGATTTTTGCGTGATTGTTGATTTGTCTCCAAGATTACCTTCAAATCCATTCATCTTTATAAACGCGTAACACCACAAAGAAAACTATCGATGGATATTCGATTTACAAATATCTTATACCTTTCGTAATCATGGAACGACACAAATTTTCTTCTTTCTACCCTTTTCTTTTTCTTTCGTAAGTTTTGTCCTTTTTTACGCGCGCACCTACGCACATACACATACGATGCAGTTAGGAGTAATCCTAATAGCGATCTCTTCATATTTTATGCGATAAATATTATATATAGAAGAGAAATATTTTGTTTACAACGAAATTGTTAATGTTCGTTATAAATTTATTAATCATGATTTCATTGTCCTAAGTATATATATTTTCGATTTGTAAATCATTGATACTTTACCATTAAATCGATTAAAGAGATATATCATTTTGAACGATAACAATGCCTAATATATCAAACGATAACCTGGCAACAAACCAATAAAAAGTATTTTATTTCCGAATACGACGCAATCGAAATAAACGTCATTTCGAAAGACTTGAGAACAATAATTCGTCTTAACCGTGATAAAATAGCTGATTTTAAAGAAGCCGATATTATTTCGTAGAATTTCTGATTGATCGATATTGAAAAGAAAATCAATTGTTCCAGAAATTGTATAAACCCAATATGTCAAGAGAATAATATTCGGTATGATAAGGCGGAATTTAAAAAAGCGTGTCACGTGGTGATCAAATAACACTCTAAATCGATCGATTTATCAGGAATTCGATAAATCTTACATCCGAAAGATTTTAAACAAATTGTTATTTACGATATACGAAACCAATTTTTTATCTCTGAAAAATTTAATTTTTCCTTAATCAACAAAGCATTGCATAAAACATTTATGGTCTATAACATGCTTAGATTTTTTTTGATCACGTTCAGCTTCTTATACATACATATATACATATATACATATATATATATATAATTATTATTATATATTGTATATTGCAATCAATTCTTATGTATGTTTAAATGCCTTATGCTTATTATGCCGACTAATGCGTTCGATGAAAGATTTTCTTCGAACGCGTTACTACCACTCATCGAATTTTTTATGGAACCAACAATATACGTTATCTCTGAAATCAACTTTTGTCCAACGAGTTTAAGTGATTCGTCATACTCTACGCTACGAACATGACGTAGCTAGCACGATTCATCAATTATTGTCGTATTCATTAATGGTGGTCAAAGTACATGGCTCTCGATGATCGCATGACTTCGTACGTTTTCAAAGTTGCATAATTTCTCTTTTCCTCTTTTTTTTCCGTTTAATATTCTTAATAGAATAGATTTTTTTTTTTTTATTAATTTGACAAACTTCGTTTATCAAAGTGCACACGATGATAATAATACGAATACGCGGAATAAAAATGAAACAAAAAAAAAACAAAAATAATCGAATAGTTGGAAAAAGGGAACAGATAATTCAATATGATATGAACTGTGCGTAATTATAAAAATTAGAATAAATGAAATATCTTGGCGAACGTCTTATACATAAAACGTTCGTCAGAAATAGATAGGGTAAAACAAAAGGACTCATTATGAGTATAGAAAAAGTTTCGTATTAATAATTTAGACGTAAAAGGATATAACTTCGATGAAATGTTCATATTTACCGTTCGTATTTTCTACTAATTATTTTAGTTCAATATTTAGATTCTAATTGTAACCTTTGGGCTCATAGAAAAATGTTAAAGTCTGTAATGATAAAATTACGGACAGATTAGATAAGAATATATAAGATATAAAACATCAAAAATGATAAGAGGGTTCGCACACGATTATAAAAGTCGCTTTGTCCCTTTATATTACCAGTTAACAATTAATTAAGCACCAAGAGCAAATACAGAGGAAGAAGTAAATCAACGTTCGTTTTTCATCATGAAAGGCAAGTTGCTACTATTTACATTTCCTTATTTTACTATCAATACTATAGAGAAGCATAGAAATGGATAGAAATATTAATTTATCACGGGCTCAGTTAGATCTAATATATGAATATTCAAACAGGAGAGATTGCGATAATAGTCGCGTTTGCGGCTGTCATGGTTACGGCCTATTACCCTGGAGACACACCAATACTGCCGGTTCCAACGTCCTGTCCAGATGAGGATCCCACAGATCGAACGGTGCATTTGGCACATTATGATTGCGAAAAATTTTACAAATGCCAGGCCGGAGAAAAGATTGAAATGGCGTGCCCACTCTGGGACAAAACACGAAGATTACACTTTAACAAAGTCTTACAAGTTTGCGATTTCCCGTCAAGAGCCGGTTGTATCGGATCTGTAACTCCATCGACGCAGACGCCACCGACACAATTTCCGCCGACGCAAACGCCGCCGATTCCGACGCCTACAAGTTGCGTGAATGCCCCAATTAACACATTGATCCCACACGAAAAACGCTGCCACTTGTACTACAGGTGTGACGGTAAAGGAAACGGTCAACTCGAAAGATGCGAAAAAGAAAATAGTTTCAATCCGGTAGAACGTGTATGCGATAAGTCTGGCGTATGCTTAATCACAGATATTTGCAAGGATTTCAGAGATGCAAATGAAGTATATATCGCCGATCCTGTATCCTGCCAATCCGTTTATGTTTGTAACGAACTGGATACGGTGAAATTGTATTGCGGAAACGGCTCAGAATGGAGCAAAGAACAACAGAAGTGTTTGCCAACTAATCAGGCAAATTGTAAGGTGTAATTAGAAGCGACATATTTATCCAACTTGTACATCTTAGAATAAGGCATATTCTGTATTTAATGTTTTATTCGTCGATTATTTCTCATATAACTTATTAAATGTTCCACGTTCGCTCTTACAACGTTTGATTTAATACAATATTTTCGATACGAATAAATATTGTACAGGCATCATAGTTACTAATTCGTTCTATTCCCTTCTATGAACTTTTCTACATTTACTTAAAGCCGATTATTTTAATTGTTGAAATCAATTTGAAATTTATAATCAAATGGAAAAAAAAAAAAAAAGAGAGAGAGATGAAATTACGCGCTAATTTAATAAAGCGATTCGCTTTGAAGGAGGAAAGTGGACTGCGCTATTAAGGAATACCGATGATAAACGTATTTTGCGAAGGTACATGTATTTAAAAATTATTACACATTTCTAACATTCCAAGGCATTAGAGTGTTAAATAACTTATAAAGTAAAGGTATGTCAAAAGTAAATGAGTAAATAAAGAAAAGATCTTAAATAAAAATTATATTAAAATGTCCGAAGGTTCTATTAATGCTTCAGATACTTTTAGTAAAATTAAATAATATACATTTATAGCTAAGACTGCACACAAATGATAGTAAGAAAAATGCGTATACGAAAAAAAGAAAAATAACAATAATAATCATAATAGTAATAATAATAATAATAATAATAATAATAATAATAATAATAATAATAAAGATAAAGATAATGATAATAATAATAATAATAATAATAATAATAAAAGAAAGGAAAACAAAGAGAAAGAAAAAAAACAAATTAAATAAAGATTAAATTGAACGTGTAACTTTTGCGATACCTTCACTGAACGATACTATTATAATTCGCAAAGAATGTTTGCTAAAAAATAAATTATTATAGTAAGAATTTAAACGCTATTTTATTAGCCCTAAAGCGTATTTTAATAATTTATATACATATCCCTTAATAATATATTTTTGTTTAACGCGAGTTATGTTTCTGTACATGCGTCATGTTTATTAATCCATACCGAGAGGGAATTACGTTCGTCACGCTTATATTTATCAATAATATTGTGTAATTAATAATTTTACATGATATTTATATCAATTTGTGCTATTACCAAAATGATCAATAATTCATTGACAGACGTTTTATATCAATCCTATGTTACGGAACTTTTACTTTCGATTGTTTGAAATATTACATGTAAAATAAGTATTTCCTTGTATGTACAATGGCAGAGCAACAATTAACATGAAAGTTCAATATCAATTTTGGGAATAACCGCCAAAAGTGTATTTCCTCTTTATCTCTATTAAAATTAACTGCTTATCTAATGCGTACATGTATAAATGTAAATATAACCATATAAGCATATATGCACGTAATCTCGTATGTGTACATAATGTGCAGTTGGTTCCCGTTTTTTGCAATATCATAGATATCAACCGTTAAAAAATATTACCTCGTATATACAATTTCTCTTCCATTAACTCATTCCTTTCAATCCGTAGAATTTTCGAGCCTTCTTTGGATTGAAATCAATTTTTAATCAATAAAAGCTGAACGTGAGAGGCATTGTTTTTCAACTGTCGATATGTGTATCAGCATAATTTACATTATTAATTATTGTATCACATAAGAAGTTTTACTTTATTTACAGTAACATTTTTTCTTTACCTACAATTTAAATATTTATAATTGTTATATATATGTATATATAACAATTACGCACACACGCACGCGCGCACACACGCACACACACAATCAGATAGAGCAATGGGAACATTTCTCCTGCTTAATCGTCTTATATTACAGAGTATGAAATTATGTATAATTAATTTCAATGAATAATAATTGTTATTCTAATAAGAATTTCTTTTCTTTCATACGTTTAATCAAACAGATCTAAAAGAATTTCAAATTTAGGAAATATTTTATCGAACCCACTTAAGATGCAAACCAAAATTACAATAAAGTAATATATAATTGTTGATTATATTTTACTTATCCTAATATTTACATTGTAGTCATATTTCAGTCTGGATTATCTCTATAAACAAAAAGATTCCTATCGTTTGAAATCTCAATTTATCATAATATCCATTCTTGCAAACTGATTAAAACTAATTATCTATAATGTGATGTTTAATTCAAACAAACCATTAATTTGATCACACTAATATACATATATATATATATATATATATATATATATATATATATATATATATCAAATTGAGATTTATGCGATTCCCATAAATTTTATATATAATTAAAAAAAGGAAAAAAAAAATCATCACACTACGATATAATATAATAATAAAGAAAATGAAAAAGAATAAATATTATTACGATATCTAATTACAAAATCTATTCCGATGAAAAATGTTTATCGATTTTTCCAAACTTATTCTTATACTTTGACTATGATTTCACATTATTCTTTAATTTATTTAGTTTAATTATGTACCAAGAAACAAACAATGTTTATATTGTCGTTCAATAGGTACATGCTATAATGTTTTTCTTCTTATCATTACCGTAAGGGTGTGAATCATACGATGCATAGAAATCAAAAATTTATCAATCGCGACACTATATATGACTCCCGATAATTAATAATATAAAACATACATATATATATATATCTACACACTTGTACATATATATACATATACGTGTGATATAACACGTGTTTTTGTATGCAGTACTAGGTTCACTTCATGACCACAGAGTTTCTTTTCAAGCATGACAACATTCAGGAAAAATGTCTGCATATAAAATGATTTGATTATATGAAATTGTCAAAACTTTACATTTTCCTCTTTTAAACTGCAAATAATATATCTAATAAGATATTCATTCCCTGTGAATTTATCTTGCTTGATATCATGGACAATATACACATGTTCGAAAATATTGTGTAATTTACAATTTTATAATTAACTTACAGCGTATAAAATGATACCTGTGAGACTGAACTTTTGCATGTTTTTATACACTAAAATCTAAATATATGTATACAATTGTCTCAAGTAATACAAGATAACGTTTATAAAAAGTTGAACATTTTGGAAAGAAAATTGATTAAAAGTTGAATATAATACAAAAGGCAAAAAATAAACCTGTTAAAGTTCTAACAAACGATTATCTCGGAAGAATTTAACGTCACTTTTCGTTAACAGTACGTGATGTATGCAGAGAGAGAGAGAGAGGGGGGAGGCAGTGGGGGGGGGGGGGATAAATATGTTTAAGTGGATTAAATATAAAGATATAGACAAGTTTGTTAGGTAAATCGTATTAAATGATGATATTCGTGAAGTGCTCTTAACATTTAAATTAATATAAAATTCACTAGGGAATATTATATAAATAAAAATTTGATAAGAAATGACTAAGAGAAAGCAACGTGTAATGAATGTCAGGTACTTTCTATAAATTGGCTTTTTTTAGCTGCTTCAACCAAATAGTTGTTTATCTTATATTCACATGTATTATTAATATCACATACAAGTATATTTTAAAGCTTCTATGTAAACGGATGTTCTGTAACCAAGTGTGTGAATGTAGCACTTTGTCAATCCATTTTCAATATTTTCTAACATCTATATTGCTAATATTCATCTGTGGTAACATGAAAGAAATTATGTATGCATACCAGGCAATCTTTCGTGTCAGTTTAGGAGTGTAATTTAAAGACTGCACGATATGTCTGAATGGTTTTAAACTGTTTTTTCTGGCTTTCCTCATGCCATAGAAATTGTAACATTAATTCCTAGATTTCCATTATCCGCAAAAAAATTAGCAACAGATGTGTCAAATACAAGGCAATCTGAATTTAAAATAGCAGACGAGACACCTTCATGTATAGAACGTGGCATAGCTTCCCACGTAAGGCGTCTCTTATGTCCATTTAGTTCTAGCCTATTGAAAATCATTCACATAACGACATATAATGATTGTATCGATTTAAAATTAGATAAAAAAAAAAAAAAAGAAAAAAAAAAAAGAAAAAAAAATGAAAATGAAGTATTTACCTGTAAGCAAAATTTTCTGCTTGCTTTCTCGAACCAATCAATTGAACGATCGCAAAAAATTGTTGATGCCCGTCATATTTCTCTTGCTTCTCAAGTACCAACATGAAATGATGACCATAACAAGATTGCATCATTACCCAATCCACAGCTCCGGGAAGATTAATATCAGTTGCCAGAAAAACTATGTCTTCTCCTATAAAAGAAAAAAAAGGCAATTGATACGTTTATTTATATTTAATCGTAGGCGTGAGAATCTTTTTAAAGCTTACCTTGAAGAGTAGTAATGCTTTTATGACTCGTAACAAGATGTGGCATCACTTGTTCAAGAGATCCCTGCCACTTACACGATGCACCTGGGCAAGGACAACTATATGGACGGAATTCACACGCATCCTCGTGATCTGGCTTTTCGGTATGCACCAAAGACACTGTGCACCCACTAATAGAGTATTTGCAAGGAAACATTACATTACTAGCTACCTTTTCCATAGCCAGATTGCGAATATTACCTAATTTAAAAGAAAACCAATACGATAAATGATACACCATAAATAAATATAAAAAGTCTTTGTCATAGATATTGTCAATTTTTTTCTCAGTTATTCGCAATTCTTAATTAATGTTCTTATGTTTCTCCACTTACAACTAAATAATTGTGAAATAATACGAAAAACATTTTCAAAGGTTTAATGCAATCTTATTCTCCTCAGATAAGAAAACAAAAAACAAGATAAGATTAAAGCCTGATAATTCCATATTATGTTAGATAATAGGTTGAACATTTGCAATCAAGTATATAACAGGGATATATATTTTACACACCTAATGGGCCTCTACAAGTAGGGCAACAGGTAAGTTTTGGTCGACAGTTACTACAAACGAGGTGTCCACTTTGACACTGCAAGATGGGTGGTAGCACATAGTCAAAACAAACAGGGCATTCAAATAGGCTTGCTAAATCAGTCGAACTGCTTAACGCCGATACAGATGAAGCTGAGGTACTGGCAACACCCCTCCCTTTTTTTCCTGTACTTATATTTAACTGTGACATGTTTTTCTCCTAGGTTAAGTACCAAGGCAAACAGTTTGATAACACAAATACAATAGTTTTTCAATACCAATGGCGTCTTTCAGACTTGGTGCAATCTCCTGGCACTTATCCACTCCATATCTGGAACTTAATTAGTTATTATTTAATACAAATTAAAGAAATTTCTTAATATACATATATGTGTATGATAATATATATACATATACATATACATATACATATACATATACATATACATATACATATACATATACATATACATATACATATATATATATATATGTACAAACTTATGTTTATAAAGGAATATTATAATGTAATGTGATAAAATACATTATCTCATCATATCTAAACAAAACACAACATACTAATATAATCAAATAAAAGTAAATTTGCCTTGAATAAACATGTTTTTTTCGATTGACGTTTAATGCATAATAGATCTCCGATAGACACATTAATCGTATAACACAATATTTACTTCATTATATAATATGCGTTTTATCCACGATAACACTATATCACTAAAAGTACGACAAAGAATATTGCAAATGAAATGTTTTAGGCTATGAAGACAGAACAATTACAACAGACCCTTCGTTAATCTTATTTGTGTCGAGTAAATTCATTGTCACCGGTATAACCATCAATTTCTCACTATGAAGTGAGAGTATTTTAATGTATTATGTTTCCCGTGCGACGAGCCAATTCCATTTACGGCCGATTATTCGTACGCACGAGTAGAGTCACGGACGAGCATACATACACGGAGCAATGCAGTGTCGTAATATGTAGGCAAAAGTCTCAACACATAAACAAGATACAGTATGATGAACATGTATGACTGTTCGTGGAAAATTCCACATGTAGTCGTGATTGCCAGCTAGAAGAAAACGTGTTTAACTTACCGAGATAGAGATTGTAGAAAAATTTTGAATCGTTGTTTCAAAAAATACAAAGGCTACTGCATGATCAGGATTGTGACATCAAAATACGATAAAAAGCACTTTGGAAAAACGATGAGAATGTCGGCGACGACGACGACGACGACGACGACGACGACGACGACGACGACGACGACGACGACGACGACGACGACGACGACGACGACGACGACGGCGACGACGACGACGACGACGACGACGACGACGACGACGGCGACGACGACGACGACGACGACGACGACGACGACGCCGACGAAGATGAGGAAATAGACGACAACGGTGGTGACAGCGACGACAAAGGTTGTTGCTGTTGTAACGGCGGTGGTATCGACTTCATGCGACCCAACTCCGGAGCTTTTGCAACAAACGCTTTCGATATCCTCCGGTACATCGATGGTGTATAAACAAGCGTGTGGTTATTTCGTCCGCGGGAGGCTACATGACAAAATCCCGCGGCCGACGATTCAGCATAATCCGCTCTATTAATTGTACCAGTCCTATGTGAGACATAGTGTAACAGCTCGCTTTTTATTTGTACTCCCTTCGGGCACCTCCGTACAATGTAATGCGAAGCGATACGACGACACTGCAGCTGTCTGCGATTACACCCATGCAGCTGCCATTCTAACGTTTAATCCTAGTTCACAACCTATCCGATATATTCTTTCTTACAATCGTCGACGAATGCGCATTCGACTTTCATGCGATCACTAGTGGAGCATTCGGCATCGTTTTTTCGAACGCTTCTCGTGTCAAAAACACATTCGGTTATCGAACACGTCGATTGGCCAAATTCGAAAGATATAAATGGCCAATCGCGCGTCAGATCCAACAACTTCGTTGTTTCGTATGTTAACGATTTTGCATAGACTAAAATGGTAGCTGAAATAATATTTTGAAAAGTCTATTGTCGCGAATATTATTCCTTCGAATTAAAAGCACTATGAAATATGTTATCACGTTTACTATGTTGTGTTATGGTATAAAGAAAAAAAAGAAAAAAAAAAAAAAAAAAAAAAAAAAAAAAAAAAAAAATAAATAAAAAAAAAAAAAAAAAAAAGAGAGAAATTAAACAACCGAAAGCGATAATGTTATATTTCGATTGACTCGTACCGAATGATCGACCGACGTGTCTTTTAAGTAATTGAAAAAAGTCTTTTAAGTAATAGGCATTTTATTTCTTGCTATAATTAAAATATACACTGTGTCATGGGTGAAACAGGCGAATATTAATTAATCGTAACAAAATATTCATGTTATTTCCTTTAATTTCACACTTTTTTCTTTTTTTTTCTTTTTTTTTTTTTTTCCTTTTATATATATATTCTTTTTTTTTCACACGCAGCAAATATGGTATACATAGTATACAGATTTAATTTCAAAAGCATAATTGGTTTGGCTTAAAATCTCAGAGAATTGGTGGAAACAATTTTGTATTAAATTTGATCGGATCGCCGTATCGTTACGTTACATTTAAGCCAAACCGTTGATACTTTTGTAACCTTTGAATGTCTTTCGAATGTATAAAGCTTTTTCAGCCTTGTAAACGACATAATTTCGATGTATCTAAACGTAGTCTCACTGTATCATTAGCAACGCTTTTTTACAATAACGTTAATGACTTGAATTTAGCGGTCAAAAAATCGCACGGGTAGTACCGGTTATCGAATTCTCTAGATATTATATCACGTCGAACGATACGCTACGTGTTAACAGTCTTTTCGCGATATGAAGAGCAGTCTTCATAGTTTGTAATATCAAACAGGAACTGCTACTCTCGATACAAATGCGAAAGAAATGTCAATGTAGCCTACATTTTTTCGTACCTTCCAGTCATTCATGTATTTTGAAACATTCTGTTACTCCAGTGTCTTAACCAAATTTTGCTTTTGCGTTACGCGCTTAGATGTAATGTTTTCGCCGTATTCGTGTGACATTTACGCCATAATGAGTACAAACGCGACGTCTAAACTATACTACAATGTTGTGTTACAATTGAAGAAAAGCAAATTTACATACATGTATACATATATATATATATATATATATATATATATATATATATATACATATGCGTGTGTATATATGTATGTATGTTGTATGTATGTTGTATGCATGTTGTATGTTGTTGTATGCATGTATACATGCATGTGTATGTGCATCCTCGTAGAAATAATCTATTGAAATTTCAATAGGTCGTTGATATATAAAGCAAGTGGTATTTTTGTTTCTTTTCATTTCTTTTCTTTCATAATGTTTGTATTGTTTTAATGACAATTTTCGTTAAATACGAATCACAAATATCCGTTCGTAATTTAACGTCGCGCAAGTATTCCTTATGTATAATACCCAGGACGTTCATATTTTAATTATACATTTTTCAAATGTTTTTTTTTTCTTTTTTTTTTCTTTTTTTTTTCTTTTTTTTCTTTTTTTTTTTTTAAATCCTAATCTCTATATCAGTATATACTTATGTGTACCTGCATATGCACATACGTATACACATACGTGCAGCATATTTAAGATTCATATAAGTTACAAGACTTATCTTTAGATTATAAACAATTATATGATAATAGATAATGCATATAGAATATAATCTTACAAGGAAGAAGTATGTTTCAATGGGAGCAAAATTTTGGTCCATAAATGGCAATTTGCTGTAAATTGAAATTAATCCGAATTAAAACTGCATACCGATGGGGGAAGAAGAAAAAAAAAAAAACCAAATGCAAACTATACATTGTTCTTGTTTTTCTTCTTTAAATGAAAATAACACCAAGCACATAGTAAAGAATACACGAATAATGCAACCTAAAATTCTAAAGAATAGCTAGAGAATAGCTATAGAATAGCCAAAGAATAGCTATAGAATATAGCTAGCATTAAATTATTAGATACACGGGTTAGTTAGTATGAGAAATGAGTAGTAACAAGGAGACAGGATTAAATTACGAATTTCACTCCACTTGAGATTTCTCCATTAGGGATCTAAGAAATCCTTTTATAACAATCAATACTCGATATACTATATAGTATCGTTATCGTTCGGGGCGTATATCATAAACGAGTCTTTCTGCAAATATTTCCTTTGAAAGTTTATATCATTCAAGTCGAGTAAAATTATATTATAGACATCATTGTCGATGGCCCTGTCCTCGTTTAAGAAAATGCACAACATCATTACTTAATTTTACTTTAAAGATTATTTCTCGTAATAGGAGGCAAAATGTGCATTATACAGAAACTGACATGATTCTTTTAAATTCGTAACATCATAACTCCAAACCAGTGGGAGAATTTTTTTTAACAAATGTACACAAAGGTATCTAGTATTATACAGACGCGACGTATGAAGTTTAGGAAATTTAAGGGAGACGGTATCAGGTATTTATAATACCTTGTCCCATCCAAATCCCCTCGTTTCAGTCTCTGACTGTAATTAGATAAAGTTGGTCTACCTCCTACTATATTCTTGTATTTTCACCATTCTTGAGCGTATAAACGAATTTATACCCTGCATTTAGTACGGTTGATGTCTCTGAAATTGACGTGGTCCCTGTCCGTTTCCTCGTGGCTTACCTTGGGCCGAATATCCCATATTTTCATATCCGTCATATCCCGAATAGTCATAATTCCCATACATGTCATCGTATCCACCTTGATAACCGTTATAATACTCGGGAATGTAACCGTAACCACCAGCATACCCATAACCATAACCGGGTCCCCAAAATCCTTGCGTTCTTGGATCCGGACTCATTTTGACCTTCTTCACGTCTACTTCTTTGCCATTTATCGTTTGTTTAGGAGTTTTCAATAATTTATATACAACTTCCTTAGAATCGAACGTTATGAAACAAAATCCTTTTCTTTGATTCTTTACCTTGTCGAATGGCGCTTGCAATTCGACGATAGTCCCATATTGACTGAAGTAGGATTTAATATCCTCGTCTGTAATATCAGGCGTAAGACCACCAACGAATATTTTCCCATGTTGAGGCTTCTTGCTGACTCGTTTTGGATCCACCTTTGGAACAATAAAAGGAACATTTTTATCTACCGACTCGAGACGTCTTCTCTATTCGAAGGATAGTTTGAAAGATAACGCGCGCATCGCGAACAGTCAATATTTCGACAAAGGAACCAAGGAGAGTTATTTCGAAAGAAATAAAAATAGAAACGAATTGTACTTGTGAAAGGAAACTACTGCTTGGTAGTACTTTTAAATAGGTCGGACGCGCGTAAAGAAAAATTCGCGATATAGCGTTGGAAGGAGAAACACGGTAAGTAGAGAGAGAGAGAGAGAGAGAGAGAGAGAGAGAGAGAGAGAGAGAGAGAGAGAGAGAAAGAGAGAGAGAGCGCGAGAGTGAGAGAGAGAGAAAGAGGGAGGGGAGAGAGAGAGAGAGAGAGAGAGAGAGAGAGAGAGAGAGAGAAAGAGAGAGAGAAAAGAAAAAATCTCGCAAACGTAGCTCGCTACATCGTGCGACCTTTACGTAGAATTCGACGGTACTAGGTGATAGAAATACCGACCTTACGTTCGTTGATGTAATGCTCGCCCGACGCAAGAAGCTTGTCGATGGTTTTTGGATTGGTGAAAACTATGAAAGCAAAGCCTCGCGAGAGGCCTGTGTATGAATCGATTTTGATGGTAATGCTTTCGATTTCGCCAAATTTTCCAAAATGATCGAGCAATTCCTTGTTGGTAGTATTTCGAGAGAGCCCACCGATGAAGAGTTTACGCTCGTCATCCTTTCCAGGAATTCCTGCGGTTGGCTGATGTTGCTGTTGCTCTTGTTGCTTCTGCTGCTGCTGTTGCTGCTGCTGTTGGCCCTGTGTCTGTTGTCCGGTGCTCTCGGCCTGAGCTTGCTTTTGGTAACACTCAACCGCCGCCATCGTCTACGCGCGAGCTTACTCGAAAAATTGCTGGCACGAGATACGCGGTAAAACCGATCGTGATATTCCTTCGAGCGGGGAAAGACGAATCGGCAACGTATGAAGCACGCGAATTATTCGAGAGAATGGCTTGGCACGCGTCACAGTCGGTTCGTACGGTGAACCGGTGGCTGGTGCCGGCTTTACGGACCGAAAGAAAGAGAAGCAACGACAGTTTCCGATCCCTTTCTACGCTATCGTCGAGCTATCTTATTGGCTCCTTCCGTTCGGTCGCCGCCATCTTCTCTCTTACCAATGGTTAATACTACGGACGCTCGCCGGAAATACCGAGCACTGCTTCCGCTCCTCGTTTCAGGATTAATTATAGAAAATTTTCGCGTCACTCGTGGAAACGTGGTCCCGACCGAGCGGGAGGACGAAGGTATGTGTGCTCGCGCGTAGCCGCACGCATACACCTACATATGACTCCTCTCTTTTTCTCTCTCTCTCTCTCTCTCTCTCTCTTTCTAAATAAATAAATAAATAAATAAATAAATAAATAAACAAATAAATATATGCTCTTCTTATTACCATTCTCGTCGACATTGTCGTCGAGTCGTTTCTTTTATCCACCCTCTTTGCGCTTACTAATGAGGATGGATTTTCGTAAGACCTTGAGAGAGAGAGAGAGAGAGAGAGAGAGAGAGAGAAAACCGTACATCGGTCCAAGCAAGTCCGACCAATGTGCGAGCGCCTTTGTTCGCGTAGGATGCATCGAGTTCCCTTTATTCTCGCTTCGCGTCGCGTCGCATCGTCTAGCGTCGCGTCGTCTACTGTCATCTCGTCTTCAAAGAGAAAACGCGCGTTTAAAATCATTCGCCTTCGCTTTACGATATCGTTGTTTTACATTGGACGTTAACGCCATTATCCCCTTGTTCTTTCTTACGCTCGAACAAAGTTCGAGAATATATGAATCATTTTATTTATTTATATTTACGACATACTCATTTATCAGAGGGAATTTACGCTGAGCCATTATTCGAATTACTTTTGACAACGACTTCACGTCCATTGATAATATCCGATCGAAGAATCGAGATACGTATTTGTCCGTACTTGGCGAAATCACGAGAGAGAGAGAGAGAGAGAGAGAGAGAGAGAGAGTACACGTGTTAAATATATAAATACAGTCAGGCCAAGATTATATAAATAAAACTCAGCTCTTCGGTAACCCTAGCTTATCCTTTCTTTAGTGGAAGAGTTTAAGAATAGCATAAGGTTCTACGAGTAAACAGGCGTGCCGTTAATTATAGGCAAGGCGTACACTACTTGAACGAAAAACTTGCCCGCGAGAAGAGAATTTTAAAAGCAGATAATGAAAAACGATATGTAGAATCGCGATATCTCTATTAATCAACCTGCATAAGCGCATACGTTTCTTATACATTTCTTTTCACCTTTTTCTCTTCTTTCTTTTTATCTTTTATTTTATCCATACGTTTCGTCGTATTATCTCGTTCTCTAATCGAGAAGAAACTCGTTCGATGGCGCCAGGAGTCCTTCTTGACGAGTCAATTCGAATTTTTTCAAATCGACGACAATAATACGCGCTCACATGAGAGAATTATATTCGTTTCGAAATTAAATCGAAAGGAATATGATATTATTACTATTCTCCTTTGACATCGATTATTCTCATAAGATATATTATTATTAGAATAAAAGTCTAATCGACGGAACATGAGTCAATCGCATAGCGTTTAAGCGATTAAGAATCTACGAAAGGAGGATAGCGTCGAGTGAATTTAAAACGATGCGGTCATCTAAAATAAGGGCGTAAATTAAGGATAGGGAATGCATCGTGCGGTTAAATGTGACGCATGACGCGCACGGTCTGACTCTGACCTATATATTTGAGCATAAGAAGCGCCTTCTTTCTCAGGATAGGACATACATAATACATACGCGCGAAACACAGACACCCGCGAATACGACGCTGTACGCATTATGACAAAAGGTCATTTTCACTCTGCCAATTTGGTTCAGTGATCATGGCGCTTTGCGTCGTATATTTAGTCATATATTCTTTTTTCTTTTCTTTCGCCGATCGCACGCTGGAATAGAGAGAACAACGGGAAACAACACTTTTAATACTAAACTTTTGTACAAAATCGTCATGTACCGCATTCGCTTTGATTATAATATCATTAATCAAGGCGGAACGGCCAAATATTTTTTTAACATAAACGTCGATCGTACAACAAATTTTTCACTTTCTATTTATACTTGCTTCCATATCGACATGTCATTCTCACGAATTAACATATATTTTATGTACGTAATAAAGAAGAAGGTGAGAGAGGGGGAGAGAGAGAGAGAGAGAGAGAGAGAGAGAGAGAGAGAGAGAGAGAGAGAGAGAGAGAGAGAGAGAGAGAGAGAGAGAGAGGGGGCGTATTTCTACGCGCGACCGTACAAACGTACATGTACATTCGTAAGGTCTCCACTTACGTTATTTTAATTTCCCCAGGGTACAATGTTCTTTGTACTCGTGCTAATGATCGCTACGAGCTCTCTCGCAATAATGCGACAGATATTTCCTTAGCTTTAAAATTACTCGAAACTCGTAGTCGACAAGTGAACGGGACCATAGAAAATCAAGTATTTACATATTTCTTAAATAATATCAATAACGATGATGAGTGGCTAATAAAATAAAACTAAGAAAAATATGAAAAAATTGGTCCCATTGATTTTTTCGAGACTGGATCTTCGTCCATGGTGAGGTAGATGGGTATATCGGTAAAAAGACATTTACCTTCTCCACCCTGTTTTGTCTCTTTGTTAGGCGCGCGCGTGCGTGAAAAGGGAAAGGCGCGGATGGTGTTGGCCGAAGAGAGACGGAGGAGGAGGAGGAGGAGGAGGAGGAGGAGGAAGAAAAGACGGTGCGTCGACTCGGTGGTGGGGGTGGGGCGTCGCGACGCCAGGCGTCGCTGGCGTCGAGCCGGCGACGTATCGTCGACTCGAGCGTGTCGTGTGCCGTCGTCGTCGTCGTCGTTGTCGTTGTCGTTGTCGTTGTCGTCGTCGTCGTCGTCATCTTAATCGTCGTCTCTTCGGGATTAGTGCGTGTCTTTCGTTTTAGATCTAACAACGATCCTTTCGTCAAACGAGATAGAAGGAGAAAGAGAGAGAGAGAGAGAGAGAGAGAGAGAGAGCGAGCGAGCGAGCGAGCGAGAGAGAGAGAGAGAAGCTCGCTAAGCTTTCCAAGTCTCTTTTCTTTTTGCGGCATTTCTTTCTCTGCCCGCCACCAAAAGTACTTCCTTTTGAAAGAGAAAGAGAGGGAGAGGGAGAGAGACAGACTGAGAGAGAGAGAGAGAGAGAGAGAGAGAGAGAGAGAGGAAGAGAAAGACGTACATATTCGTAGGGTGCACTGGCCGACAGAGAGATAAGTAAAGGGACGTTGACGTGTGCGTCGGAGAGAACTAGAGATAGAGATAAGAAAAGAATGGATTTACGAAGAAACACGGGCCGCGTACGATAATACTACCTCGACATAGTTCTGCAATCCGCCCTCGTGCGCGTCCACGGCGGATCCGGAAGGAGGCGCGCTCGAAGGGAAAGAATAGGGAGAGGTAAATTCGCGCACCATTAACGAGCCTCTCTTCCCGGAAACGATCGAGCTCGCGCGCCAACCGATTTAGGATCATACCGGCCGACCGATCGACCGACCGACCGACCGACCGACCGACCGACCGACCGACCGACCGACCGACCGACCGACCAACAGACCGACAGATCGACAGACCAAACGACCGAAAGAACAAGAGGAGTGAACACGGTGCGATAAACTACCCTGTAGTGCCGCGAACACGTCCAACTTCCAAGTTGTCTTCGTCGCCACCTCTTCTCTCGTTTCTCTTTTCACGCGTGTATATACATATATATATATATATATATATATATACACACATACATACATACATATATATTTATATATATATATATGTATACGCGTACTGCTCACGTATACGTTGGTACATATATATAAATATAATCGAACGTACCCAGATATCTATTTATAAGTTTACACGAGAGAGCAAGAACAAGAGATAGATAGAGAGTAGCGACGACGATCGTGACGTTGCTCGCTACTGGTGCTAGTGCTACGTTATCTTTGGCGTGCCGTTTGTGATGATGATGATGATGATGGTGGTGTTGGTGATGACGATGGTGGTGCGTCCTTAAGAAGAAAGAATTCGTCGGTGCGAGAGCTTACGTGAAACACGAGAAAAAGTAGAAAAGAAGGCAAGTCCCGGTTACACGCTCGAACCGCCTTTATTTTTCTTCGACGACGCTCTTTCTTCTCGCGAGAGAAAAACGAAGAAGATAAAAAGTCATCTTCTATCCTAGTACTAGAAGAGAGGACGCGAATCGAGCGCGAACGACATCGCGTTTAAGACGGATATGAGGAGCGGATACGCCCGGCTCACGTGATACACACACGATCGTCTCTATCACCGACGGTTCTCTCTTCCAAAGATATGCGGTAAGTTTTTTTAAGAGGGTACTAGAGGCAACGACGACGATGACGACGACGACGACGACGACGACGACGACGACGTTATTTTTTTCAAGAAGCTAGCGAGCGAACGTGTACGCTTCGGTCAACGGACTCTGTGAGTGAGTGAGCGAGAGAGAGAGAGAGAGAGAAAGAGAGAGAGAGAAAAAGAGTCGCTCCTCTCTCCGTTTCCTTTTTTCGTCTTTCTACTAACCCTGCGAGAAAAACTTTTCTCCTAGATACTCGTGAGGAGAACCAAGCGTGTTTCGTCCCCTTTCCCTTGCCCTCCGCATAATAAATTCGTAGTATCGGACTTTACTATTCGAAATTCCAATGGCTATAATCCAGATGATTCATCGAGCGGTCCTCGATGAACATTTGCCAACTTTTCTTGGAATCGCTCCGTTCGAGCTCGAAGACGTCTTCGACAAGATGAACGCGGATCATCATATATCAGGAAATTGTAAATCGTTTTTCAAATATTCTTAATGTATCAGCCAAAGTATTAACGTACCGATGCAAAGCGACCTTTTTTTAAGCACTCTTTCAACTTTACTCTACATATTAAAGTCGCTCTTTAACACGAACCTCTTTATTGACGAGAGCCTTGTACGTCAGAGAGCATAGGAACGAACAATTTCCTCTTTCATTGGGATATCGTAAATAAATTGGCACCTACTTGCACTCTTTGCACTTTCCATTATTCTCTTCTCGGTTTTCTTGCTACCGTTATAAAAAATGTAGGATATAATAAATTCGAGTAATAGCGCGGAGCAGCTGTGCCGCCGACGGTCAACCCGATTGCCAGATAGATATCTATTTAATGATAATACCGAACGCTACTAAAGTAATTTTAGCATCGAGGTCGATCAACCGGACTCGCGAAATTTCACGCGAAAACGAGTAGAAGAAAAATATGAAATTTGCTTTTCTATGCGGATTCTCGTTAATACACATGTACGCATACACAAGCTTGCTTACTCGCGAACGCACATAGGTCTCTCTCGAAGTGGCAGTTATTAAAATGGCGCGCGTATTTTCCGTCCTGGATAACGCACGACTTCTGGTACTTATATAGTACGTACGTCATTTTACTATACTCGACGCGCAAAACGCGACCCAGTAAACGGTGCAATGCTTTCGAGACAAAATTTTAGACGGTGAGAAATAGAGAGAGAGAGAGAGAGAGAGAGAGAGAGAGAGAGAGAGAGAGAGAGAGAGAGAGAGAGAGAGAAAGGAAAATATGATTATTTATTGCATCGCGGATGTAGGATGGTGATCGTTTATGTAAAATGTTTATGTACGCAGATTATTTTGGTAATATTCATTATAAATATATGAAAGCAAATTTGTATCTACCGTTCGATCAGATTAATCTAGTCGCTCGACAAAGAGTTAATACGGAGATTACATTTGGTGATACAAAGCAAACACCGCATTTTTTGTTTTCTTTTTTCTTTTTTTTTTTTTCTTTTTTTTCTTTTTTATCAGGCTCGTATCCTTTTGCATGCGTGAGACATTAAAGGCGTGCCTTTATCCAAAATTTTATTCTTCGTTACGGATTCTCGACCGAAATTATTGATTCGAGCACGTGCAACGCGATAAAACAGATAACGCGAAGAGCTCGACGGAAACAAGGGTGTTCGACCTAATTCCGTCCTCGTACGGCCCAAGAAGATGAATACCGAGGCCCAAACCGAAGTTTGTGTTACTCTTCTGGCAACTTTACCTTCCCGTTCGGCTTTCTTCTCGTGCACGTTCTACGATAAATTTAACGAACGTCTTTTTCTTCCTTCGTTGCTTCTTCCTATTCGTGCGTATGCGAATGTGGATCGCGATAAAATAAATATACGGGAGCTCGTAGAAAAGCCAACGGGTTTCGACGGGGGAGAGAGAGAAAGAGAGAGAGAGAGTATGTATCGAGAAAAGAACGGATAAATAGATGTGTGAGCGAGAGAGAGAGAGAGAGAGAGAGAAAAAACGTAAAAAGATAAACTATGTAGGAGGCTGCTTTGGTCCGTATTTCATCGTAAGGCTTTCGACCGCTCCGAAAAGTCGCTTAACGTATTCGTTCATCCGACAGCTTTGCCAAGAACGAAGGATTTGCGGGACGGAATGCGCGGGATTTACCGGGTAATACGTGCGATGAACTTTAACAAAAGTCCTCTCTCGACGTCGTGAAACGTTGATGCCGACGACGTTCGTACGTATTACTTTCTCTATTCTTTTAGAAATAAAAGAAAATGTAACTTTTAATCGAATTTCGTTAAATCATTCTTAGTCGACTCTGACGATAGCTAGCTAATTTTAGGTCGATACTGGCAACTGTTCGTTTCGTAAAAACCAGCCTATTTCTTTTCCTTTTGCCAGCCGTCGAATCCACAATAATACAATATTTTCAGCCGTGCTTGGCACTTGGTTAGATCCAACGAAAAAACTGCTCGTTTCTCTCTCTTCCCCTCGCACATATGCATTATCCGAGCCATCTCTACCTCTTTCATACGTTCAAGAAACAAAAGCTTAGGTTCGGTCGAGCGTGTTTGCGCGATATTCAGGCTAATGATATTCGATATCGACGAAACTAGTCGTGCGAAGTAAAACGACCGGTGATCGGATAGACTAGAGAGAGAGAGAGAGAGAGAGAGAGAGAGAGAGAGAGAGAGATACACGTTGCAAATCGACTTTGATTTGCCTTAAAATGGTGTCGTTTTTTCTTATCGTCATCGAGGTAACCTCGAAGAAACGAAAAGTCGAGCAAACTCCGAGAAAACTTATTGCCGTGCAAGAAGAGATTTTTATGTCCAAGCGCTCCGTACGACCGACTTCGACTCATCTCCCTCCACCTCTTCCTTCTCCTCCTTCTCCTCCTCCTCCTCCTCCTTCTCCTCCTCCTGCCTCATGGATGGAAACTTACCGATCAATATCTTTTATCGTACAAAACACGTTGAATTAACGTGCATCCTTGCTCTCTCGGCTTTAGCTCTTATACACGCGGTATGTACTGTATACGTACATATTTATGTATAGATGCAAAACCGGGAAAGCCCCGTTATCTATGAAAAATCGCGATATCTTACGCGCGCCTCATTCCTTTTCGTATATACACACCGGCGATCGGAAGGATAGATCGATTCTCTTGACTTTCGTTCGAGGGTATTATAAATAAGCGCACGATTTCGGTGTATTTATAAGTGCGCTCTTTGACATTTCATCCCTCGGAGGTTCGGGCTTCATTTTCGATCTTGCAGCGTGGCAGAACGTTATGTTACAATAGGGCTGATGAGAAACATATATCTATATCATACACGTTTATACAAATGTTGTCTCTTCAAATATTTCATGTTATTTTATACAGGTCTCGAGTTAAACGATTATAACGTTTATCGGTTGTTTCGAAAGTATATTTTCAAAAGGTGTCCCAGTTAGAAAGCAATCCTAGTTAATTAAATATAAAAATCTCTCCAATTAATCCAATATTCTAAACGAATATTCGTCCGTCAAACGATTCGCTCGAAATACGATACATGTTTAAAACGTTCGTTTACTGTTCGATAATTTCAACGTCAATCATACCAATCGGCTAAAATCAATATATATTAATATCGGCAGGCTAAATGAAAATGCGAATCATACGCATATCGTACAATGTTGTACGATAAATATCCCATAAATCTGTAATTTGCTTAAATACCTTCGTTCGTTCGTTTTCGCCGAAGATTTCGATGAGAGACGATACGATTTACGGCGTTACAGGCCAGCTCTCACGCCTTTGATAAAAGCGAAATAATGTGCTGACCTCGAATTCGAGCAAAATAATAGACATGGCGCCAGCGAACTCTCGTTGCTCTCTTGCAAATAGAATTTCTCGTTGGATCGCTCTACTGCCGTGACTTTTGAGAAAGGCAAAGCCAAATTGCAAGAGCTCGCTGCTGTTCCTCGACGTTTCTCAACTTGATACCGTGTTTTGTTAAATATCTCTACCTATAACCTATTCTATATACATATATATACGTATATAGTGTGCGTGTGTGTGTGTGTGTGTGGGGCTTTAAACGAATGTAGAGAAGAAAGAAACAAAAGAGGAGAAAAAAAGAAAGAAACGGCAAGAATATAATGGAAAAAGTCGGTACATCGCGAAACAATGCATCGAGTTTCGATTCGAGCTGCGAAAAAAAAATGGATATGTGGGACTGCCATCGAAGGAAAGCTTTCAGGCGGCAGTCGAACCAATACAAGTCGAGACACGCTAGACTGAATTCTACATCCGCGTTCGAGATAATCGTTTCTCCGAGTCGTTGTCAAGTTTTCAAATGATAGAGTAGGTCGAAGAGTAAGTCAATACGCGCTTTTGTAACAAAGTCAATTTTGTAGCTTCAGGTTGGATGAGGGACTAATACTATTTAAAAGGTAATGAAAATTTATCGTTTCTCTTGATGTTAAGAATCCCGTAAAAAGTAGCGGCGAATGTGCAACTATTCATCGGCTGAAAGGAGCGATACTTTTAACCAAAAGTCGAGGAAAACGGTTTAGGGACTAAAGGAAAACTTCGCGAGAGACGTTGGAGCTTTCTTATGTTTTCTTTTTTCTCTCTCCTTCTTCATCTTTTCCTTTCTTCCGGACGATTTTTTCTAAATAAAAGTTTCTTCAATTAACCGTTCGCTTGGTGTTCCACATTCGATCTTCTCATAAGTGCATACGTACTTCTTCCATATCTTCCTCCGGGAAAAATATTCGTATCTCTATCATTTTTATTCCTACGTTATACATCGCATACATCCGCATAGAAATACATCTCCATTGTTTCTTTCGAATAGGTTGAATTTATATACGTAAGATATAGAGAGATAGGTGTACGTTCATAAAGAAAATTGTTTGCTAGTAAAGAAAAAACGATTCGTCGACGTTGCATTCTATAAAAGTCTCATTTTTTTTTCTCGCATTCTCTCGCCTCAGAAAGGTATAGAAAAAAAGAGAAAAAGAAAAAGAAA